ATGAAATGTGAAAATAAGTCACAGAAAGGTTGCCTATACAGAAAAAATGACTGAAAGTAAATATATTACAATGTTAATAGCAGTTGTCCCCAGATGATAGGGGACTATGTGCATGTGGTTTGTCCTTCTTCATACTTTTCTATATTTTCCAAGCTTCTTATGTGCATGTACTGATTTTTAATGAGAAAAGAGTGTGTGGGGGGCACACTGGAAGGAGTAAGGAGAAGCTGCCTGAGAGAGTTACTCGGGAGGGGGTGTTAGGTGACCAACTGCTGCAGTTTGCAGGGAAGTGTCCCCAGTGTCAGCACTAAAAGTTTTGCATCTCAGGAAAGTACTCAGACCCAAGCTAATCTGGATGGTAGGTCACCCTAGAAGCACACCAGGTGAGGGGACATCACAGATGCTGTCTGTGGCCAGCTGAGAGTGGGAGCAGCACCCAAGTCATCATTTTTCCACCAGCCAGAAACCACTTACCTCCTCCCCGGGGGCTGCTAAGGATCCTGAAATTTGGGGAAAAGTAGAAATAACTCTGTTCCAACCATGTTCCCTTTTACATCGACACAGCCACTTTGCAGATTCAGGTCAAAGTAATAAAACCATTGTAGATTGCATCAGAACAGAAGATTCTAGGCTTGTTTGTTTTGCTTTCTTATTTCTGCTTTGTTGTTGTTGTTGTTGTTATTGTTTTTAATCTTTCTATTCAGGAACTCAGAAAGATGTGGGAAGGACCCAGCCTGAGAATGCATGAGTGAATTTACAGAAGATGGGGACCGACCGTGGGGGCTAAGGCAGGGGAAGGGCCAGGCCTTGACTTGGAGCTTTATCTCCCGGACGCTTATTCACAGAGGCAGAGAACCCGAGAACAGGGTGTCTGGGGTGATGTGGACATCCTGAGTTCATTTCGGGACACACTGACGTTGAAGCCACATGTGACACATTAACTCAGTGACAGTTAGTCACGATATTGATACATGTGTCTGCAGCTCCAGATTAGGTCCTGGGTAGAGAAGCAGCTTTGGAAGTTTCTAGCATGACTAAAAGGGTGAAGCCTTGGGAATGGAAAAGATGATGCAAGGAGGGTGTGAAGGTGTGCAGAAGGACAGGTGGGGCCAGATTCAAAAGGAACAGTGCAATTTAAGACTCAGCCACTGAGTCTGAGATGCAGGCAGGAGTGCCCCAAGGGGGGCATAAAGAGTAACTGTCACTGGAAAAGAGCCCTAAAACGGTCTACCTGTGGGACAGCCTCATGCTGCCTGCGGACTGGGAAAATACCCGGGAACTGGTTAGTTTTTCTGTGCACACACTCTTCCCTATTGCAAGCCATGCAAGGGGCAGCCACCATGGATGACTCAGTGATAAATGTGCAAGCCTTATCCACTATTAGAAGGCCAGCAGTGACAGTGGAGGATGGAGCACTGAAATACTCCAGTGGGGAGGAACACACTCAATAAAAGAGAGTGAACGGGAAAAACTTATATTGTCAAATAAGCTTGGGAACATGGAGGTAAGCCTTTTAATAGGACTCTTTAGTGTAGGAATTTTCAGAGGCTTAAATATCCACTTTGGTGTTGTGCTTCTCCAAGGGAGAAATGTGGGGTGTAGCATCGTCCAAACTTGTGCAACCTCAGACTTCTCTCCACAGGGACACCTGTTGACGGCTCAGAGCTCGCCAGCGTTGTTCTGACAATGCAGCAAGGGGACAGCTGGCCTCAAGGAAGGCCGGGCGGTACTCCATAGAACCCCGAACTCAATTTCTTACAATCACAAAACAAAGCAGCTAATCGACTCTGTCTCCAACAAAATAGGTCAAATACCAAGCGGAGAAGAGCAATAAAGGGAATAAAGTCTGTCGGTGCCATCTTTCATCAGTTCTGAGACACAGTTCCTTTTACATCTCTGAAACCTGAAATCAGGATGTGTCTCAGAGTCGCAGGAGTCTGACAATTTCCGAGTGCCCCATGACAATAGAAAGAGAGAGCTCATCATCTGAGCTAACCAAACATCAGCAACTTGGGAAAACATCCCGGAAAAATAGAGGCACACTCTTGAGTTCTTATAAAGACACAGAATCAGGTGGCCAAGCTGTGGGGTGACCACAAGTTTTGGGTCGCGTGGCTTACCCAGAAGCAAAGCAGGCTAGCTCTACTTAATTACAAAGCCAAGTAAAGAGTTCTGTATCAATGGTTTTAACTATCTTACAGGTTCTTTTAAGAAAGGAGTTGCCAGTGTCCTCAATGGCACAGACATGTACAAAATCGCGAACATCAGGGACATTAAATAAGAAGTAGGGCTGAAGAACTGGGCTTGACATGAAGAAGCTTTAGGAAAACCTTAAGCACCATTGGTCCCTTTTATTTTCCTTGTTCCTATATGCATGAGAGTGATCAATGATAAAAAAAAAAAACCTTTGTCTAAATTCAATTTTAAGTGGCTGCATAGTATTCTACCATAATGTATGCATTTTTTTTTCTTACCCATCCCTCTAACAATTTCCAGCTGGGTTATGCTGAACACTCTTATTCCACAGGAAATATAGATTTATTTAAGAGGATGAGTTTAAGTTCCAAGAGCTCTTTAAATAAACATAAATTCTAAGTGATAAGAAAACATTGGATCATAGCTTCATGGGCTGTTATTTCGTCCTTCTTAGTGATATACAACATGGCGGGGCATTTAAAATCAATTGTGGGCCAAGCACGCGGGCTCACGCCTGTAATCCTAGCACTCTGGGAGGCCGAGGCGGGAAGATCACTTGAGCTCAGGAGTTCGAGACCAACCTAAGCAAGAGTAAGACCCGGTCTCTACTAAAAAAATGGAAAAAATTAGTTGGGTGTGGTGGTATGTGCCTGTAGTCCCAGCTACTTGGGAGGCTGAGGCAAGAGGATGGCCTGAGCCCAGGAATTTGAGGTTGCTGTGAGCTATGGTGATGCCATGGCACTTTAGCCAGGGTGACAGAGTGAGACTCTGCCTCAAAAATAAATAAATCAATAAATAAATTTTAAAAGATAAAATAAAAAAATATAATTAATTGTGAATTAGAATTAATGAAATAGGTAACTGGCTTTTAATAAATGTATTTTAACCAATGCTCCCTTTTTCTCTAAAACTTTTTCTATTTTATTCTTAAATGGCTAAAATTCCCAAGAAAATTCAATTCACTTCCTTTAGAGGGAAATTTCGAGTACTTCCCTTGGTTCCTTTATTCTTTAAGGTTTCAAAATTGTCACTCTGCTCTTTCTGGAAGTCACAAGCAACCTACCTCCTAAAGCAAATCTCTTTAACAGGCTTCTGCCTCCAAGCTTTCCTCAAGAACAAGTCTTTGCACTAGACCAATTCTCTGGAGATAACCTAGCCTCTTCTAAGTTTTTGTTTTCTTCTCCAATTCCCTTTTTATAGTTGAAGCCAGTGTGAGGTCATGCAGCCTCAGCTGGTCTCAATTACACCCCTCAGTCTGCAGTGGGGGCCAGGGGGGCCAGCATTGTCTCTCCCTCTTTCATTTCCTCTCTATAAAATGACAGAATTAGATAAGATATTCTCCAGGTTTCTGCAGAATGAACATTCTAGGCTTCATGTAGACTTCTCAAAAATGCCAAAGGTATTATTGATATTTTCTTTGTATTGTATATAAAGCAAACATATTATACTAAAATTAACCACTTAGCCTTAATAAAGAGAGATAGTTCTTTACAACTCTCACACCATACTGCTGAACACTGAAACATAGCACAAACTCACATTTTTCAAGAAGTCGTATAACATATCTCAGCACCACTCTGAATTATTTGCCTTCTGTTTTTTAAAATTATATATTTTCTCATCCTCAACGTAACCAGAAGTGCTGGGTCTTAACAAGATTCCTAAACTGAGATGAGCAGTTACTATGAGGTTAACTACTAATGTTATTTTACAGCCACTAGGCTACAAGGCTGTGAGGTCAAGTTCACATTCTCCTTGTTTGCTGTGGTATAGGATTTACTGACTGAAATTTATGAAAATTAATGACTCAGTGGCATTGAGAAACAGAAAATGAGGGTAAAAGGAGTTGTTAAGTGCCTGCTACATACATCCGTTGTATATCACTACAAGTAAGTACAGATGATTTAATTAGACTAATGTTTCTTCTGAACTTTCTTCCCTCTAGGACACAGTCTTGAATATACCGGAAGTCACAAAACTTCCATTGTTATGGGCCCCAGGGCAATGGGTGATTAATGTTGAAATCTGTAGGATAATTTGCAATATACATGCACATGTATCTTCTCAATCACTAATTACAGACCAGACAATTTCAACTGTAGCAGAAGGGGTGTCCTTAATATGGATATTTAAATTCTTTTTTATTCTTACTTTTTAATTTTTGAAGACTCACCAGCCTCTTGTTAGCTTCTTAGGAAGAAAGATGACCTGTAACTACCAAGATTAACACTCCCTAAAAAAGAGAATGTTGGATTCTCCCCAATGACAGGAAACGCTCTTTGGGGACAGAAAATGCACTCTTCAGGAGGAAAAAGCTGAAGTCCTGGAGGGTCTTATGACAAAGGCGAGATGTGCTTTGGCGTGTGGTGCTGGGAAATGGCCTCGCAGAGCCCCTCACCACCCCCAGGAAGTTTCTCGGCAGTGACTGGGAGCTGATCCTGGACGCCTGCCCCCTCGTGACCAGAGGAGGAAGGAACAGAGCAAAAACATCAGGTGCCCAGAGCTGGCCAGGATGACAAGAAAAACAGGAAAGTGCCAGGCTGCCAAGGGACCCAGCGAGAAAGGAGGAAATGGCAGGGTTTGAATCCCTGTAACTTTACTGGCTTGGGCACTGAGACAGAAAAAACACTGGCATTTTTATTGAGGCATTTATTTATTCCTGGCATTTATTTATTCCTGGTTTTAGTATGTCTTGGAAAGAGAAGAAGAATACCAAAATTACTTAGCATTTTATATGTACATTCAAATCCTTACTATCTTCCCTACCCAGCTTGCAGAAGTCCCAGAATTCTTATAAAAGTTACCTGTCTCACCAGAGTCCATGAAATTCATCCACCGAACTAATCTGGAAATTCAGTCAGAACAAGCATTTTCTCATATGTCAGCATTTCTGGGTCTTCCCATGTTCAAAAAAAGAAAAAAAAAAAAAAAAGAAAAGAAACCTGATATGCAGAAAAACAAAGAAAAGAAATGGAAGGGTGGTGAGGAAGGAAGAATGTAATTCTGATACTTTTCAAACTATAAAAAATATTTCAATCAGGAAATGCTATATCTTCTACCAGAACAGAAATCATCTTAGGTCTATACTATTTTGATTGTATGCATTATACCTATGCATTAGCTACCGATAAGCACCACACCATACATTTTTTGTCAGGTTGGGTAACTTAATTGGTCATCTGTAACTAAATATTATAGTTGAGTGATGTAACTTGTTACAATCACTCAAATCCTCTCTATTGGTCAGAGAGATGTATGTTCAATAGATGCATATTCAGAATCCTACAACCAGTCTCACAGTTTTTAACACTATGAAGTTATTTGGCGGGGTAAGGGAGAGATAGAAATAAATATTTATTTTATCCAACAATTCTAATATTTATCCCGAAGGAAAAAAAAAAAGCAACCATTCTATTATGTCACGGGACTTTAGAATGTCTATCTTCACTGAGAGTGTCTGTCTGTCTTCACCATTCTTTCATTGGCAGAAAGTTGGGTTGGGGAGAGATGCACTCAGGGAACAAGGCATCCTTCTCCCCACATGTGCCATCTTTCCACCCTCCTTTCCGCTATTCTGTGTGTGTGGCTCCAACAAGCTTCATCTGTCTCTGTGCTGAGGCCTGTAGGAAAAAGGTTTAACTGACGGCCTCAGACCAGGCCTAGGGTCCTTTGTTGACTTATCTCTGTGCCTTCCCACATAGGCCTGCTCGGAGACCAGGAGACGTGGGGTAGGACCCAGTGAGGGACAGCCTGGAAACACACACCAAATGCAACCCAGGGATGCTTGTCTGTTTAACGCTCTCCTCCCCAGTAAAATATGAGGTAGCCTTCCAAACCCCTCTCTGAGGAAAATATGACAACCAATGGCCACTCTGAGTTGGAAGCAGTCAACATAAAAACTTTGCCAATTCTGAAAGGCCCAAGACTTTCTAGACATTTCATTAAGAAGAAATAAATACCAGACTCCACGGAGTTTCACATGAACAGATCAATGGGTAATCATGACACCGTGGCATTTCACCTCATTGGAAGCAGGAAAATTGAGAGACAAGTCAGAGGAAACATTGAGAAAGTCTAGAGATTAACTAAATCCCAATGTAAACAGATTTATTTCTCCACTTCTTCACAGCTCTACCCCATAGTATATAGTTTATTGAATACTTTTAAGAATGTATTCCAAATGATTAAAGCTCTCCAAGCATGCAGATAAATTATATCACCAGAATGAACCCCATCTGGGTGTCCCCCACCACTAGAAGATCCCTGGCAAAGAATCAGTCCCTCCATAGTCTTCCCTAAACAGCATTCCATGAGTCAGCAATAGCCATTCTGTGGGTAAAAAATATTAGAAGATAAATAAATGTTCAAACTGGCAGTATTTTTTCATATATATAGCATCCTAAGCACATTTATATATGTGTTCCAATGATAAGGGTCTCTGCCTTTAGATGCAGACCATGCTGCAAAACAGCATGAGAAATCGCCTGGCATACAAATTTTACCCACTTACCTCTGGCCTATGTTACTACACGGCTATATATTTTCAATATAGATTTGGGATGTTGCAGTTTACTTAGTATTAAACATTACTATTAATTATTTCCATGACTGAAAGACAGTTTATGATAAAATGTTTTAAGAAGTCATCTTTCATTGTCAAACTATCTGAACAAAACAAGAAAAATGTTGGAATACTTAAAGGAAGATAAACTATAGCTCGCAGTTCTAAAAAATCAGTAGGGTAGCTATACAAGATAAAACAGTAACTTTTAGAGCAGCTTAATTAAAAAGAACTCAACTGCTATAAAAATGTGCAGTGATGTTTCTCTTCCACTTATTAAGGCAAAAGTCCTGTGAAATGACAGAATTTTGAGCTATGAATCAAAAGAAGTATTTGGGTGTGGGAGATGGATCTGAGTCTATACCTACTATAATGATCCAACCTGACTGCTGAGATTGGGTGACTATGTAAACCTAAAAATGTTACAAATACAGTATACTGTTCTCATTGTTCTGATGGAGATATTTTTGTATACCACATGAAAGAGCAGAAAAAATAAAAAGAATGATGTTTTACTATTTCTAAATACACTTAGCTCTTAATAAAATACAAATGATTACATTTACTTAATTTGTTTTTGTTCTCTTTTGATAAATTAAATTTGATCACTTCTTGTAGCAATTAATTTATCTAAGCAATCTTTTTCTGCTATTTTAATCCACACTCACATTATATCTAATGAACTCCTATTGCAGTCCCAGCAACAGATTATAATTTTAAATTGCATTATATTCAAAATAAAATGAGTCTAGCTTTGCCTTAAAACATAGCCAGAGTACCTATGCATGGCCCAGCAGACAGGTGAAAAGTCCACAGGACTTCCAGTGTCTGGTCTGGCACAGAAACAGCTCAGAAGTTGTCATTTTGTCCTAACAACAAGCAAAAATCTAAATGAAGTGAAAAAATCAACAACTCTCCTTAGATCTGTCAGAAAAGTGAGGTCACAGGGCAAACCGCTGCCCCCAAAATTGAAGCGACAGACAGGCAGACATGGAGAACCACAATTTACCGGAGAAGCATCTGTGGGAACCAGTACCAATGTAGGAAAACCTGAGCTGTAATTGACAAATTGCTAGAAGTTTGGTATGGACAATCTGAGAGATAAAAATTCCAAGGGGACCCAGTCATGTTGGGGACTCCACACTTTTGAGAGTTTTACTTTCAGTTCTCACAGTGGCTATCAAGGGGAGAAAAAACCTTTATGCTTCCAATAGGAAGAGGAGAAAAGGAACCATTTGGAAATATGCCAGAGCATTCAATTCTTAATAAGGCCTATCCACAGGAAAAACTGTTTAAGAGCCTAAAGTATTGGGATTTCACCAGTGCTTAACCAAACTGTGGGAAAGAAAACATTTAATGCCAGCTTAGTCTAGACTTCCACGTGGGAAAAGGGAGATACCCAACTCCAGCCCAGGGTAGCTGTGCTGGCGCCTGTCGGGCAGGAGGGTGGCCGAGAGGTACATTTACAGTCCAGGGGCACAGGCTCACTAAAGGACTGAGACCTAATCATAGGACTACAGAATGCGTCTTCTCCCTCTACACCGCACCACCAAACTATTAAAAGCCTATTTACCTTGGTTTCTTTTACCGCTACATCGTATCTGGCTATCACGAAAAAAAAAAAAAAAAATACAGGGCAAGCAACAGAACTTGAGTCAAATACAGCAGGGATGTTGGAATTACCAGACTGAGAAATTGAAAACAATTATGTTTAACATGCTGATATGGGTTTGAAGTTGTTGTTCCCTCCAAAATTCATGTGTTGGAAACTTCATCCCCAATTCGACAGTGTTGGGAGGTGGGACTCAAGGGAAAGTGTTTTGGTCATAAGGGCTCTGGCCTCATGAATGGATTACTGTTATGGTTAAAAGGCTTTGGAGAAGTGTGATCATTGTCTTCTGCTCTTCTTTTTTTTTTTATTTTAGCGTGTTATGGGGATACAAGTGTTAAGGTTACATATATTGCCCGTGCCCCCCTCTTCTCTCGAGACAGAGCCTCAAGTGTGACCATCCCCCAAACGTTGCACATCTCACTCATTGTGTTTGTATATACCCATCCTCTCCTTCCCTCTCCCACCCACCCAACACCCAATAAATGTTATTCCTATATGTCCACTGAGGTGTTGATTCATTAATACCAATTTGCTGGTGAGTACATGTTGGTGCTGGTTTTTCCATTCTTGAGATACTTCACTTAGTATAATGGGTTCCAGCTCTATTCAGGAAAATACAAGAGGTGCTATATCACCATTGTTTCTTAAAGCTGAATAGTACTCCATGGTATACATATACCATATTTTATTAATCCACTCATGAATTGATGAGCACTTGGGTTGTTTCCACAACTTTGAAATTGTGAATTATCTTCTGCTCTTCTGCCATGTGAGGACATAGAGTTTGTCTGTTTTTGCCTCCTGCCATGTGAGGATGCAACAAGAAGGCCCTCGCCAGACACCAGATGCTCAGGACCTTGATTTTGGACTTCCCAGCCACCAGAACTGTGAGTGAATAAATTTCTCTTTTTTAGAAATTTTCACTTATTCATTATCAAATATTCTGTTATAGTAGCACAAAACAGACTAATACACACTAAAGTTATAATGGATAAAGTAGACAGCATGCAAGAACAGATGGGCAATGTAAAAACAGAGATGGGAATTTTAAGAAACAATAAAAAAGAAATGCTACAGATCAAAAACATTAGGCAGAAATGAAGACTACTTTAATGGGTCCATTAATAGACTTGGACACAGCTGAAGATGAAATTTCTGACCTTGAGGATATGTTGCTAGAAACTTCCAAAACAGAAAAAAGACTGGGAAAAAGTGGAACAGAATATCCAAGAAGTGTGGGACAACTACAAAAGATGTAATGTATGTGTAATGGAAATACCAGGAGGGAAATAAAGAGAGAAACGAACAGGCAAAGGCAAAATATTTGAAACGATAATGATTGATAAGTTCCACAAATTTATGTTAAATACCAAACCACAGTTTCAGGAAGTTTAGGGAATACCAGAAAAATAAATTAAAAAAAAAATTACACATAGGCATACTATATTCAAAGAGCAGAAAATAATAATAATAAACAACAATTCTTGAAAGAACCCCGAAAAAAAAAACTAAACTACAGAGGAGCGAACATAAAAATTACATCCAATTTCTCCTCAAAAACCATGCAAGCAAGAAGAGAGCAGAGTGAAATATTTAAAGCATTGAGAGAAAAAAACCCTGCCAACCTAGAATTCTGTGCCCTGAGAAATTATCCTTCAGAAGTGAAAGGGAAATACAGACTTTCTCAGACAAACAAAAATTGAGGGAATTTGCTGCCAGTAAAATTGCCTTCCAATAAATGTTAAAAGAAATTCT